TAAAAAGGGAATCAACATAAAAAGAAAAATAAAAGGAAAAGGGAATGGCTGAGATTGTTTATAGGGAAACTTTAGACAAAGAGACCAAACGGGGGGCTGTGACGCCTGAGACATTAACGGGCTGTCAGAGATCCCTTCACAGTCTTTCCTTTCCTCTGCCGGCCCTCCATCTTTCACTCCCTCCTCCACCTCTGTCGTGACCTTCCCTCAGAAACCACTGGGTCAAACCGGCTTCCACTCAGACTTCTACCTCTCAGCCTCACCTCGCTTCAAAGCCGTCGTGTCGGGGGGGGGGGGGGGGTTGTTAGTAGAAACGCCTCCACAGAAACAGACACAGCCTTTAGGTGGATGAAACAGGAAGTCCCAAGCAGCCAGTAGCTGTTTTTTACACATTAATACAGATGAAGAGGTTGTCGAGGGTAACTCCCTGAGTAGCCCTGAAGCCCAAATATTGGGTAGTATAATAATAAAATATTAATTATTTTTATAACAATACTTTTTTTTTACTAGGAATCTTTGAGAAACAGTACAGAGAAGAGGGAGTTAGGGGTGTGTGTGTGTGTGTGTGTGTGGTGTGGTGTGTGTTGTGTGTGTGTGTGTGTGTGTGTGTGTGTGTGTGTGTGTGTGTGTGTGTGTGTGTGTGTGTGTGTGTGTGCACGTGCGTGCGTGTGTGTGTGTGTCTTCAGTACCAGGTGCGCATGCCACCTGCCAGCCGGTGTGAACAGTGTGAGGCCTGATCTGTGATGCTCTCATCATACCCCCATCACACTGATAGGTGTGCGGCTGAACTCTCAGTCTTTCCCACACTCTGAATGTAAACTGCATGAAAACAGACAGACACACACACACACACACACACACACACACACACAAACCAAGGTCCAGAGTCCTACGAAAATCTAGCTTAAGTCTTTTTTTGTGTGAACACAAGCAAGTCTTTGTGTGTGTGTGTGTGTGTGTGTGTGTGTGTGTGTGTGTGTGTGTGTGTGTGTGTGTGTGTGTGTGTGTGTGTGTGTGTGTGTGTGTGTGTGTGTGTGTGTGTGTGTGTCTGTTCTGTCTATTGACAATAGTATTCCTTTAAAGATAAGACTGCAGTGTGTGTATGTGTGTGTTTCCTCACAAGTGTTCTGGTAAGGTTTTTAACTAGGTGGTCTTATCGCACTGTTGAAATATGGGACATTGAAGAGCACTAAGCCCTGTGTCACTTCAGAGACAGTTCAACAGCTTTCATCCGAAGAATCAGTGACTATGAGGGTTTTCGTTGGAACACACACGAACACGCACACACACACATCACTTAGTCAGCTTTTACAGTAATTGAGACTCCATGCCCACCTCCTTGTGTTGAAAATAATGAGGTGAAGAACATCCTGAACATGATGGCGATAAAGATGATAATCGCTGAGAGGAGAAGGAGAGAGAGGCAGAGTTCAGCTGAGTCCATCACTCCTCTGATGGCGGTTGGATCAAAGTAAACACTGATAATGGTTACACCACAGTTAATAATACTGCTGCCCAAGAATGTTGGCCGGCCCGGCTACTCCCGACCTCACACGTATAATAGGACACACACACACACACACACACACACACACACACACACACACACACACAACACACACACACACACACACACACACACACACACACACACACACACACACACACACACACACACACACACACACTCCTCATTCCTCAATAGCAGTGACACATACCAAGCTTTCTTCCGCTCTTCCCACAGACCAAACACTGCTAACTCCTTCTTTATAATTGTAGACTTTTGATTCATTTGATGAGCAAAGGGAAACTGGCTTCCCTAGCTGCGCTCCCATCGGAAAACATGCACACACCTCCCCTGCACACACAAATACAGTAGAGGCAATGACTCCATGCAACTCCCTTTGTATTTACAACACATACCCACTTCAGCTCCCATTAGAACCAGACGTATCTCTCTCCAAAGACCTCTTCCAGTAGTTCCTCCGCCACGCCCTCCTTACTCCCTGCTTCTCTTGCTTCTACCTTTCCTCTATTTTACAAGACCTGTTGGAAGCCAAACTCATTCAGTCACCTGCAAGTTGGTGCGTATGGATCAGTTACTGAGGATTTCCAGGTTGCTTTCTTTCAAACCCGAGATACAGACAGAGTTGACTAAGAGGAAGTGAAAACTAATTCCTCACACTAAACCTTGTATGCATTGGGTTGAATGGACTAGTGCTGTTTCCTGTGTGCTTTTGCCAACTTGTGGTGAATAAAGCTGGCCACATGCGAGAATGTGATTCCTTGACATGTGCAGGACTTATAAGGTGAATAACCTTAATGACATTAAGTAAAAGCATATTATACTTGTTGCAGAAACAGGTTGCTGGTGCTAAAGTGAAGAGAGTGGTCCTGTATCAGTATGGGAAACTGCTGAGAGGCCGAACAGGCTGCTGTCCATCTCAGCACTATCAGAAGCATCAGTCATCCGCTTCCCCTGGGGCTTCAAAACAAAACGATTAGGTTTCAGAGCTGTTTCGTTGAGGGGTTGCTCACAGCTTGTGGCCCAGACACGAGAGAGGGGATGGGACTGTGACATAGCATCTTAACAAAGAGACAACAAGGGGAAAAGTTAATTGGAAAAACTGGGGTGGAAATCAGGAATGAAGGAGGCAAATTAGTCCTGCTTCTTCTAGAATCCCGCAGAGCATTGAGGCAAACTTTAACATGCATCATGTTGTGTTCAGTGGAAAGTAAAAGCTTTACATTTACCCCGGAATTATTGGAAACATGCCTTCATACTTGGGATTAATTTTCTAAGCACAAAGAATATATATAATTTCTCCTGTGTTGCTAATAAACCATTACCCTTGTGAAGTGAAACATGAAAGTAATGTTTCTGAGGGACTGCCACCCAAGGGTGAAACCAGAGACTCAGAAGGACAAGCGACCCGCTTTACTTTCCCTGTGCCAAACCCCACCACCACCTCCTCCACCTCTCGCCTCAATCAACCCTCGCTGCCCTAATCCAGTGTTTACATAAAACGCTGGGCAGTAATGATAGCCATGAGACCATGGACCACCCCACGTCCCTGTACACCCTCCTCTCCCCAACCGCCTCCACCGCTAACCCAAAGCTGTTTTCACAGGAGCCAAATACCTTAAATACATAATTAGCGGGGTCATTTGTGCAATAGGGGCCCCGGCGAGGGCATGAGCGTGTCCGTGTGAGTTTGTGGGGGGCAGAGCGAGGATGAGGAGTGTAGTGGGGGCAGGATATGAAGACGTGAGAGAGAGGTGGACAAAGACGTGCATTCATGACTGTGGCCCCGTACAAACTTGGCTGTCGCCATCTTCAAAGGCGTCCTCTGCCTTTCCTCAAAACCCAGAGGCCACAGGTTGGGCCAGAGAGGAGAAACATAACAGGGCGACAGAGAGGGGAAGAGGGAAGGGGAGGATGGGAGAGGGAAGAGAGGGGTGTAAGTAAAACAGCAAAGGTTACGAGATCTGTAATCTGGGAAGGAAGTAGTCGAGTTCGATTCTGAGGGAATTTTAAACAAACATCCATCAAGTTTTATATCAAATAAGATAACATAAGGACAACATTGGCCAAATGCATTCGATTAGAAAAGTAGCATTTATTTACAGTAAACATGGAAATGGGAAGAGATAATTAAAGCTTTTAAATGCGCATCCGCCACTTTGCACCACCACCCCCCCTACAACCCCTGAACCCTGAACTCTGACCCTGGGCATTGTGGGTAGTCAAATCACAGTTTGCCCTCCGCAAGAGCCCAAAATTCCAGTGGTCCATGTTTCACACTGGGAGACCTCCTTTGTATTGTTCATCTGCACACACACACACACACACACACACACACACACACACACACACACACACACACACACACACACACACACACACACACACACACACACACACACACACACACACACACACACACACACACACACACACACCACAACACACAGCCTATTCAGCAGCCCTCTTCACACCTTGTCTGCCCCTCATCCCCCTCTGGCATTGTTTATGAAAGCATGTCCACTTAGTGCTGCCCTGTCTGGCCCTTCTTGCTGTGGTGCCGATTACCCACATCCTGAGTCCACTTCATCCCCTCTTTTCTTCTTCCCCCCCCCCCCCACTCTCTTTCCCTTGCACTCTCACTCCTCGGGGTATTCTCTCCCCTCTCTCCTGTGCTCCACCCTCTTTCCCCACCGTGACATATTGCTCTCTTTTAACCAATACACTGCACACACTATACTGACTCTTCAATCCCCCCCCCCCTCCATGCTTGTGAATGAAGCTGTGAATGTCAGATAAAAAACAATAAAATCAATCAGGCCTCTGTTTTTCCTTTTATCTTTACTTGATTCACTTGATCCCCTGTTCCACTGGCTTGCAGAGCTGCTGTCTCTCTGATCCTTTCTCTCTTTCATGTTTTGCCTGTCTTCAGAGGAGGGAGACTTTCATGTCCCTTAGCCCTGGGATTAGGGTGAGCTGCTCAGAGAAAAGTAATAAAGCCCCCAGCACCTACCGTCTGCTGCGAGTGGATCGTGGAGTAAAGCCCAGCTCCTGCTCAGTCTTCAAGCCGCGAAAAGCTCACATTTCCTGTATAAACCACCTTCACATCCAGCTTCTGTCGAGCCTCTTGCAGCGCCAACACATGTGGATTACACTCTTTCTGACTCACATCATCTATATACGTTTTGCATTCCTGAATATGATCTGTTATTTGGATAAAACCTTTATAAAGTGTGTCACAAATACAAACACAGGTATGGATTTGTTTATGCAGGGGGGTCGCTTAGTTTTTCGCTTTTTTTATGCTGTACTGTCCAGTTTAAGATTATGCCCATACTTCATTCTTACTTCAAAACCCAATGTTGTGCTCTCAGTGTGTTTAGTGCTGCATGACATTTTGTTCTATACCTAAATGTAACTGTATTCACCATCCTTAGATACAACACATACAAATTATGGGACTCAACATTCAGTGAACAATTCCTTAGCCAGAAATATATTTATTGTTGAAAACATAAATATATAAATTATGATTATTGATGTCTTTATTCAAGGAAAGTCCTAAAAAAAAAGTAATGAACGCTTAGAGATAGGGGAATGGTATTTTCTTTAATCAAATCACTTTAAGCGTGGTCCCTTGTTAACTGAGAACACTATTTTACAGTAATGTAAATGTGATGACACATCAGCCTTATAAATATAGCACCAATAAACTGATAGCTAGTTAAGCTGTGTGTGTGTGTGTGTGTGTGTGTGTGTGTGTGTGTGTGTGAGAAATCTGCCATCTTTTCTTTTAAACTTTATCTTTTGACTTGCACTAATCACTCTCTCGCCTTTCATTTCCTCATTTGAACACTGTCTGACCGTTGTTGTTGTTGTACTGTGTTGGCCTGGTTACACATTTGTCCCCGTTACAGGGAACTGTTAGGGAAGTTATTGTTTGTTCCATCGGGGCACGGGTTCAGGTCAGCACTGTACTGTTTTCAGGCTGCTTCAGAGCACTCATCATCATCTGTCCCCATGGTATGTGGCGGTATAATGTGTGAGTACCTTCACAGGGTGTAACGATCTGAGATTTGTTCTCCTGTCAACAGAGGAGTAAGGCCTAACCAAACAAGGAACCCATTCATGCGCTTGTCGATTTGCTTTGCTTGCTCATTCACTCTTTAAGGTGGACTTTGCTCATTGCGTGAAAAACATGTGTGGTTGCTAAGCAGAGCGGGCAGGAATCTTTCTTATCAGTGTTCAGAGTGTAATGGATTAAATTAAGGCTTGTGTAAGAGAACAAATATGTCTATCCTAACTCATTATTGGTTAGGATATGATTCAGGTGCACAATAATTGCTCCAGTTAAATGTGCTGTATGAAAGCTTTTGTGAAATGCCACTTGTAACATATTGCCATGTTTGTGTCTTCACGCCTCTGATGCAACAAACACTGGCAGACCCACTTCTATCTTACCCCCCTGCCCACATTTTTGCATCTCTTCCAATGGATTAAATACAGGCATTCAACCACAACAAAAGAAATAAGCATAATTCCTGCTCGGATATAAGTAAGCTTAATGTATTTCATAACAAAAATAAAGCATCTTCCTGTACTGACTCTCACATCTCCTCCTTTCATACATATATCCAAACCATTTACAAGACTTGACATCATTCAGATATACTGTAATATAATAAGAAACATGGATGACAACAATGACATTGACTAAAAAAAACAAATGACGTTGAGATTGTGAAACTGATGGCTACAAAAACCTGAATTCTTGCATGTCTTCAAAATCATTTAAACATATTTTTTGTTATTTATTTTTGTACTGGAAGAGATAGAAGGCAAACGGCCACACATATAAATAGTTTGTAAGTAGCGGCGCATCGTCCTTTTCAAATTTAACTGTACATAGCAGAGTGGGCAAAGTCACAGATCACAAGGGTCTCGGAGAAGATCTCTTCTTAAATCAGAGCAAACATCCAAATACTAAAAAATGTTTGATAATCCATAGAGTCTTTTGAAAAAGCAAACACCTCCATGTGTCTCTCTCTTTCTCTCTTTCCAATGTTTTTTGTTCCTATATCTCTCTTTTTTTCTTACGATGTATGAAAAAAGTCATTTAAACAGGGCAGGGCACTTTAATGTTGCCCAGCTGGAGGTCATCCACCGCTGTTTTGGAGTCTGTGCACCAGATTCCCACGAAAGCTTGATCCAACAGTTTCATAGCCATTTCTGTTGTGTGTCTTCTTCAAAGAAAGTCTCAAATGTTCAACACAAATCCCTTTCATCATCTCCCTTCGGCCTCTTCCTGCCTTGCCCGGGCTACAGCATCTTTCTCTCTTAATCAGCGGCAGGGTTCAGTTGTCGGTTAGGTGGCGTACCACAGAGGAAGTCATCATCACTGGTTACTGTTTTTAACAAAGCACCTTTGGTATGGTTTATTTGTGTCTGTTGTCTTTTTTTCAGTCTGTTGTCTTAGCAGAATTTTTTTTTGTTTTTTTAAAACAAAGGTTGCATGGCAATGGGGAAAAGGACAGAGCAGGTGTCCTGTTGGTGGCATCCACTATTTAGGTCCCTCCCACGCTGAAGTCCCTTGTTCTGATTGGTCTCACCTCACGTCCACTGTGAGAGAGAGAAAGCTGACGTTAGTACCCCAATTTTACACATCACAACACAAGGGTTTCATCCTGACAAGACATCCAATTTAAATACGTGTTGTGCCCCAATTCCATAATTGTTTCATGCATTTTGAACAACCTGACACAACAGACACAAAACCCACAATATTATGAATCACGATCCTCCAAATGTCTGGTCAGTGATCAGACCAGACGCCATTATGTCAAGTAAAAATATGTGCATATGTGTCATCATGTTTAAAAGACAGAGAGATGGGCAAGAACACTTTTATGATACAATACAAAAATAAAGCAAAAGTGATCTTTAAGCAGTGAAACAAACAATGACATACAGTGGGTGTTACTGTATAACAAAACCACAACAGTGCACACAACCATAGCAAGCACAACACTGTGACAAAAACAATATGTTTGCGGTGGGCATGCTTAGCAGGCAACACAAAATCAGCATGCAGCATTTGGCCCTTTAGCCCTCCCTCTTCTCACACTGATTGGCTGTGATGTGATTGGTGAAGGTGATTGGCAGCTCCCCTTATGCCCTAATTGGGCCATAGCAGTGCCTAAAAGGTGAGAGGACTCTGTGGTGCTAAAGTCCTACCTGTTCACTTCACAGCTCTCCAGTGGACTTTGGGTATTGAGTGCAACTTTATTATGTCGCCAATAAATCCTTGCTGGGCCTTAGCTTTTTAGGTTTCCTTTTTTTACCTTTAGCCCTACGGTGGCCTGAAAACACAAAGTCAGGGAAGGGTGGATAGGAAGGAGGGTTAAGAGCAAGAAGCAGGGTTTATGATACAGAGAGAGGCACAACAGCCCTGGGACAGAAGCAGAGAGTGCAAAGATATGACACACTATAAATACTTCAGATGCCTTATCAGCACACATCAGCGCTTATCTGCTCCCAGGGAGAGAAAGGCTTCAGATCAAGGCACTGTCGGATTTACCTGCTGTCATGCCAAGCAGCCTTTGGACACACTCCCTTAAAACACAGACTTGCACACACACACACACACACACACACACACACATACAACCTTGTCTAACAAGGCACAAACGCACTAGCTTTACAGTTTTGCAATAGCAGGCCAGTTCACAGGTGTGTCTGTCCGTTTGGAAGCTATCATAGAAAAAGGTCATCCAGTGCAAAGCCAAAGAGCCAGACATGCGGCTTTCACACCAGCGCTTTTCCCTTTCTAGCTCCTAGCGAGAGCTTTTCTGGTTCAGCTCCGGTTTCCCTTTTCAGCTCCCGCTCTGTTCACACCGCCCAGAGCTGCCGAGAGATTTTCTCCCACAACAACAACGGGCCGGGGACTGCGTCGGGTCGACGATCGTGTTGCTTTTAATCATACGAAGCCAGATTAAATTAAATAACGACTTCTCCAACCTTATACTTTTCTCCAGAGTGCCGTGGTTCATTGTTTATTAATGTGTTTCAGCGGCATTTACCGACCGCTACAGTGCTGGCTGCTCTTCCACGGGTTAGCTCCGGGTTAGCTCACACGGCTCTAAAGTATTCACTGTCTGACTGTCACACAAGCAGCTGATACATATCCCCAGTTCCCCTTAAGTGAATGTGTGTCAGTCTGAATTGACGCTGTTTGGCATCACAACGCTGTTATGAAAGTTTCTCTGGTATAACATGGGTGATGTTAGCATATCAACCGAAGCTAAACTGACTACTTGCTAAGCCGTTTTCTCCAGGCACTTTTTACCGACGTATTTTTCATTATGATTCTACTTGTGATAGTCGGACATGACAACCTGTGCAGCCCATGTATTGATTCCATCCGATAGCTGCTATAATAACAAACAAAACGTCTGCCTGCTCTCCACAATGATCAATAACAGCGAACGGATGGTCAAAGTAAGGTTTCCTGCACGCCTCGACGTAAGCGACGCCGCGTCATAGCTCCAAAGCTCTTGCCTCTGGACCAACAACTTTTTGGAGCTGGAAGTGAACCGCATTCCGGAGCTATGACGCGCTGCCGCTGCGGTGTGAACAGGAAAAAACGGCGCTTTTCAGGCTCTAGCTCCCAGCAGGAGCTGGAAAAGCGCCGGTGTGAAAGGGGCAACAGAGAGAGAAAGACCATCAGACAGACATGGGGAAGGCAGGTAAGCAGGATGATGCATGATGATATAGGGGTGACGGGGGTTCTCAGGCACCAAACTCAGCCTCTGTTTTTTTCTGGAGACTATTTGTAATTACGTAACAAGGAAATATCATAACTTTGAGGGTTTATTTACCTGTTTCTGCATCTGAGTGCTCCACAACGTGATGTTGCGACGTGCACACACATTCCAGATGGTCTTCTAACCGCACAAAGACCTCTTTCAGCTTGGGTTTCCTCCTCACGTACTCCACCTTTGCTACCTGAAGGGAGGAAGAGAGATACGGTTAGCTACAGAGACCATCTCCAGCGCCATCATTACTCTTCGCTGTGTGTCGTCAATGAATGCACACACTCTTTGCCCATTCGCTAACATCGGGAGGCGTAGCACTGTGACTGATGACTCTTTCATTAACCGATTCATAAAAAAACACCAGCCATCGCTTCGCCTTGTCGTGTTTGAAGTGTGACGGCAGCATTCCTCAGGGGCTGATGCATTGGGTTCCGCTCGCTGTGCTGTATGTGCTGTTGATCAGGTGTGTAAATACTGAATGGAGTGTATGACCCTGTCCAAGCAAGTTCAAACAATGGGAGAGGAGCGATGGAGGATAGGGGGGGAGCGGTATACGCCCTAAGGCCCAGGGAAGGTTTACCCTGGCAGGAGAAGAGAGGCTGGGAGATCCCCCCCTGCTCCAGGCCTGGAGCATCCACATCCAGACAGACACACACCTAAACTCCCTCGCCTTGTTCCGACATGTAGGCTGCTTTTAAACCACATTAATACATCTCATGGGCTAGGGAAAGTGCTGCTCAACATGTGCATGCAAGAAATGCAGCTTACATAGTTTAATCTAAGCAGTAGAACCCCAGAAAGCAGCCCTTTGAATCTAACAAACACTAAAGCAATGCAGGAATTCCTATCCTTCAGTTCAGCTAACACCCTCTCAGTTTAACACAACAGGGCTGACCTCCACTTCCCACCCAATATCTAGAAATGAAAAGGACCAATCCTCGGAGGGGGTTTGAATAGGCTATGTTGATTAAAGCTTAGATGAAAGCTGAATAGGGAAGGTTGCGTGGAGGTTATGATGATCTTGTTGTGTAACTCAGGGGAGGTGGCTACATGCTTTTCCCTCTCTGATGTAAGTGCCAAGGGCAGGTAACCTTCCCATCCACCACTGAGGGCCTGGGGGCCACATGGAAACAATATCCCCTGCTTCACCCATCTTCCTGGTCGCTGCACGAGAGAGGATATTGGCCGACAATCTCCCAGCGCTCTCTGGTGTTATGAACAACACGATTTCGCAGACAGCATGAGGCTCACACATGAACAGACGAAGGCCAAAACTGATGAGAGGCTTTCTTCCTCTATCCTGTGATGGCACACCGCCAAGGCTGGCTCTCGGTGGTGAATTAGTCATGCAGACAAACGAACATACCAATCTCTGTCTGATAAAACAAAGTAAATTGTTGACATTCGCACAGCTTGAGCTGCCTCATGTCAGCGCTGTAACCAAGGCTGGAGGGTCATCTGGGGAGTCTAAAACTGAAATCAGGGACCGGGGGGGGGGGGGGGTTCACCAGCCGCTCCGTCGCAACAGTTTCTTTCCATGGGCAGAAGAGAAAGAGAAAGAAGAGAGGGAATATAAAAGAGGGTAAGCAAGCAGAGAAGGTATGCAGTGAGCAAACAGAGGACAATGGTGTCTGGGTTGCTGTTATCGGGCCCTGACAGAGAGAGAAAGAGAGAGAGGGAGGGAGAGCACGCAGGAGCTCTGCGCAGGAAGGTGGACCATCACTCTCATTAGGAAAAAAGTGTGTGTCTGTGTGTGTGGTGTGTGTGTATGTGTGTGTGTGTGTGTGTGCAAACAGAGGAAGCTATTTAAGGAAGGGGGAGGACTGACCATGATCATGACCAGCATTAGATGACATTCATGTGTTACCTATTAACATTTCGTTTCTGGCCTACTAACTGAGGAACTTTATTACACTAAAGCTGACAGGATAGATAGAAAAGTTATCAAATGTTTGATGTTATCTACCAAATGTGCAGACAGTCTCACGGAATGACAATAATTCCCAAGAAAATCCCAGGAAACCACTTATCTAATATTGAGTCAAATGCTTTGACTCAGAGATGGAACATGCATGCAGCTGTCTCTTGGGACGACTCTGCTGTCACTGGTTTCGGGAATCTGTGAGCTGGGGGGGGGGGGGGTGGTCAGTAGCAGCCAGCGAGAAGCTAAAAGACTCAGCAATGTCTGACACTTACTACTGAGGCTGATCCTAATGACTAACACACACACGCATACCCAAACTCTTCTGGCCAAACAAACAGCTATTGACAGACGGATAAAGCGATGGGCCCCCTTGATGAGAGGCCCAGCGGTAGGCTTGTCTCCTTGCCCCTCACACAGCAGGGTTAGAAACACTCCCTGCAGGACACACACAAAAACACACACACTCTCCTGAATATGTATAACTGTGCTCTAATACTGCTCTGCCCACTTTGTCAACACTCTCTCTTTCTCTTTCTATCCTGTTTCCTGTGCTAGGAGAAAATGTTGACGCGACATGAAAGGTTGTCTTTCCACTTTACATCCATATTTAACTCTCCCTTCCTCCATTTAGAGCCACTTTTCCGCCACACAGGCAGAACACTCGCTTCCTATCCTCTGCCGAGTCAATGACTTCGAAAATACATCAGAAAGAGACCCCATGCGACGACAAGGGGCCCCACATTCTCTTTGTATAAATCAAACCAAACTTAACTCCCTAGAAATCTGGGGCCCTGAGAAAGAGCCCCCCCCCCCGAATGATATCCGATCCACAGGATTGGGGTGAGGCAGGGGGCTCTGGAAGGTGCACTCCCTTTGGTTTGTCCTCAGTGTCTACGCAGCGCTCCGTGTGGAGCCGATTGTCCCGGTCGGGCTAATTGGGAATTCCCTTAGCACCGAGCACTGATGAGAGCATGATGGAGGGGAAAGTTTTCCTATGGCTTTCCAAGGAAAACACAACAGGGTTGGGGATGTGCAGCGCAGGCCTTCATGAACTGGAACAGGCAAAAATAAATAAGAATGTATGTGTGTTAATGGAGAATGGAGGGGTGAAATGAGGCAGAGTGGGGTGGCGTTTCATTTATCAGGAACAAGGAGCCCTAAGAGACTGTGCCCTGCAAACAAGGAGCTCTTGTTGAGATGTTACAACTCTGAGCAAGTTTGAGGAACGTAAAGAAACGTTCTGTATGTCTGTCTGAAATCAAGAACAGTCAAAATGACACTTGGAAGAAGGCAGGACGATCGGCAGAGGGAGAAGAGCAAACCCCAGACTGAACATCAGACAGCGGAGGAAACCTGCTGCTGCCCTCTGATTCAACCCGCCACCCCCACAATACAAACACACTGCCGTGGACGGGGTTATCACAGGCCGTGTGTGGAGAAGAGAGGAAGCAAGGAGAGCATTTATCACATCACGCACTGGCCTGCAATGCCATAAAGACATTTCATGGAACCACTCTCCCCCCACCTCTCTGGATGTGAGCATCTATCTTGCTCTGACCACATCGTGTGTTGTGCTTCCCTTCCCCTCAGAGACCAAAATAACCATCATTAAATATCAAATATCAAAGAGCTCAAAGGTGTATAATCTTCCCAATTACTTTTCAGGATGAGTTTATAGAACAATTGCAGATGAGAAAGACGTTACACTGAGCACATAGAGTAAATAAGAGTTTAATGAAAGAGATACAGTATATGTCAAAGACAGACAGAGGGGTACAATTAGAGAGTGGGAGATGGCTCTGTGGAGGAGGGAGTGAACAACTATTTCACATAACAGACAATCAGACTCCGAGACTGGAGGAGAAGAGAGGTGGAGAGGGAGGATGAAGTCAGAGGGGAAGAGCGAAAGGGAGGACAGGAGAGAAGGAGTGAAGGAAAATACAGAAATGAACTCAAATATGATTAAAATAAGGCTGCTACTTTTCCTGCTAAAGCTGATACATTCCAGCCGGTGTGGCAGAAGCCAAACTCTCCAAATTCCGGCGTAGTCAGGACGCTCCCATGGTCTCTGACCCGCCCGGCAACCCCCGCCATGCACACCACACACACATTTATACACACACATACAAACTCACTCACCTCATGCTTCATCTAGTAGAAGAGCTGAGTGAATCAAAGGGAAAAATAATTCACAGCTGCAAAGGACTTCAAACAGGGGGCCCCCTTCATTCCCATATAACCCCCACTCACGTAATCCACAGGACCCCTCAGATGATCATAAATCATGCTCACTGTATCACCGTCACACTGTCTTTTATTTATGAAACACCCCGTAAGTCAGGGTCCCACATAACCGCAGGGCTACAGCTACTGCTTCCCCCAACACCCGGACCTGACCCACTGTCGCTGAGGTAACTGTCTGTCTGTGTGTGTGTGTGTGTGTGTGTGTGTGTGTGTGTGTGTGTGTGTGTGTGTGTGTGTGTGTGTGTGTGTGTGTGTGTGTGTGTGTGTGTGTGTGTGTGTGTGTGATGGGGTCGGGGCCAGGGCCAGTGCAGGGAGATGTGTGGACCCCCACACTCAGCACTGTGGCTATATCCGCCTGGCCTCTGTCAGCCTCCACTTTGATCCAGCAGCCATCAACACTTCATTACTCTGTGGCCCGTCTTCCTCTTGCTGCCGCTTCACACAAATGGCCTTGTCCCCGCACTGCGGTGGGCCAGTTTACGTACCATAACATAGAGAACTCTCTCTAACACACACACACACACACACACACACACACACACACACACACACACAGATACACACACAGATACACACACACACACACACACACACACACACACACACACACACACACACACACACACACACACACACACACCACACACACGCAAACAATCTCCTTCTTTGGTTTACACAGATGTGCACTCATGACCTTCTCTGACCCCTGAAAATACATTTGCTTCAATGGCCATCAAAACGTTCCAGTAGCTAAACCAAGCCAAATGAAATCAACTGCACATTATTGTTGGCAAATGATGCCATGCTGATTAGATTTAGGCTGCCACATAAAGCCAATGAAAAGGGTTAGTTCTCATGTCTGGCTTTTTTCCTGGTAAATGTTAAATTAGAACATCTAAATGCCATTTACAACAACAACACTTTAATAGTGCTTTATCAACTTCTCTTCTCTCTTTCTTTTCATTTTCCATATTGTCAAGAACTCTCCTGATATCCTTGTAACTCAAATATGACCCCCTTTACATTTGTGTGCAGGAGAAAACACAAGAAAACCTTAGGATTTCCTAGAAAACGTCATCTCAAATATAAAATGGGATAGTTTCTGGGTTTGTGAATGAAGAAGGGGAATATAATGAACAGAGAGACCAAATGTACTGCAGAAGCTTTAAGAGTTAATGAGTGAGAGGATGAGTGACAGCTCCATTCTTTGCCCGTGTCATGGGCTGTTTAATCAGCCCCATAGCAAGAACAAACAGAGAGGCATTACGATTCACACACAGACACTCACACACATTCATACGCACAAGGAATAATGTGCAAAAGAATGCACAGACACGTCAAATGTTGCTGCCTCACTCTCATTTCATCACAGAAACACCTTGTATACTAGTCTCTTAAGTCCTGACTTTCCAAAACCACATGTTGTTTTAGGAGTTTGTTCGTTTAGCAAGACTCTGAGCAAAAAGTGCCTGAAAAAACCTTTAGAAATACTAGACACAGCTGTAGCTGTCAGCAGACACACAGGAAGATGTGAGGAGGAAGAACAAGGAATACAAGAGAAGGGATTGATAAAAAGACAGGAGAGAGTATGAGAGAAGGGAGATGACAGATTAACAACCAACAGAGAAAAAGGGAGTTCAGAGAGGTTGTCTTATGCCAGCTAAACACCAATAATATGCCAATTATGAAGTTTATTTTCATGTGATTTCTAGATTTGACCAACTCTAAGAAGACTAGAGCGATAGAAGCACTAACAAAGAATTGCTAACAAAGCACTTATATACTAATAAAGGACAGGCTTATCTAAAGCCAGTTGAGTAACACTTGAAATGTTTTAGCTCTATGAAACCTGATGTACTTATATGATTCTGTTTTCTTCAAGTTTGTATCTTGTTGGTCGAATGCACTTATTGTAAGTCGCTTGGGATAAAAGCGTCAGCTAAATGCAATGTAATGTAATGTAAAAGACTAAGTTATAGAAACACTGGCAACATGGCCAAAATGTTCTGCAAGCTTTCAAAGACAAAACACCAAAATAAAAAGAGAAATGAGAAGAAATGTTGAGGAATTACTTCAATGGAAGAAAAAAGGGGTGCGCCAAGATGCTGCGCTTTGGGGAGTAAAAGTGCAAAAGGAGGTGGGATAAGGTTGAAGGAGGAGTTAAAGGAATGCTGGGATGATAGAGTCTGAATTCTGGTTGCCTCTCCCCTCTCTGTTTCCCCAACGGTCTGTCTCTCCTTCCATCGTTAACTCTCCACTTCATCTTGATGAATACCAAACCTGCTATAAATGGCTTTTATCATTACACCATTCTAAGTTACTGTGACCTTCCCATGGTAAGACATGTGGAATAAACAAAAGCAACAATGTAAATGCCACCCACACATGCAAATCAAGATTTATATACAGACCTATGACAGTGTTGGACCAGAAAAGAGAGGGATATGGAGACCAAGAAAAAGAAAGAGTGTCTTTAAGATCTGCCCCTTCTCCTCCCTCAGGCTAGTCCTATTTAAAGTAGGCTTTTTTTTATGACCCTAGCCACTGAACAGGACAGGCTTGTACAGTACAGGGCCTGCACAGACCCGTTCTCTTCTTTTGGGTCCATAAAAAAGGAAAGAGTGAGAGAAACAGAAGAGGGGGAATAAATAAATAAAGGTGAATTTGGACAAATGCATAGTGGCATGAGATGGAAAGAAACACACAGTGAATGTGTTCTTTTCCCATCCTTGGCTAGCAGAAGGAAAACAAGTCAGGCCGAGGGTACACGGGCAACATTTTTAGCTGTCTAATAAATGGAGGGAGAAGCCCAAACTGAACCCCTATTCAGACCACTGAGAGGACAGACAGGAAAAAAAACTTGGCCTCAGACAATGTTTCTCTCACACAATGTGGTGAATGTCTCCTGACCGGGGAGAGCCCTGACCAATGACCTTTCCAGGGACGCCTCACGGCCCCCACCCTTTGCCCGCGGCTGGAACCACATGGAAATCGCCCCTCATGAATCTCTGCCCAACACGCCTGAAGGACCCTCTCAAGTCTGTGAGCTCATTTTGTCCTCAGTGTCATGAAGGGGACACGGACACAACGTCGCATGGAACACAACATTCCATCAATAGCTGAAACTAGCCTTATAGTGTCTTGTGCGGCGTCATCCCTGTCTCTCCATCCATCCGAGTCACTGTAATAGCAGACAGAGCTCCTATTGACCGTCTGGCAGATGGAGAAAAAGACACGCCTGCATGCAGACAGACACACAAGGTTGTGCTGTATAACAGAGCTCTTGCACTGTGAGTCAGCATCTCTGACCATAAACCCTGTGCCCTGGATGCAGTGCCTGTGCCCTACAATAGCCTTCTTACTGTCTCTCTAAAACTAAAAGATTAAAAGAAAATAGATTCCTCCCATTTTGAAATCTCCGTGGCTTGTGCCAGCGTGCTGATAGGAAGAAGGCAGGCAGGGTTGGTATTTGTTTTATTACTCTGCCGGTATATATTGAGGCGGCATCTTCAAGACATGATGTCCCAGTGCCCATGGATCACAATGATTAAAGAGACAAAATGTCCAGAGATAGACTCAAAGAGAAACACAAACACAACCAGAGTGTTCCAGGCTATCCTGTTTATCCACCGGTTGTCTCTTACTCTTACAAAACAGAGCACATAACTCCCATACCTCCAAACAGAGCTGCGCACCGGCTAACAGTCTGTAGTGTAAATACTGCAGAAATACGACTCAGCTCCAGCCACGGTGTCTCTTCTGATCCTGAACAGAAGGACATGTTTTCAAGCTAGCGATGCCAAAGAGCCTCTGAGAACAGTGCTACCCCCTTCAATCCCTCTCTCCTTCTCTTTGTCACCTTGTCTCCTCCAGGCTCTCTGCTTACAGAAAAGACAGAGGGCCGACTAAAACGGTGGGCAGAGGAATGGTTGAGAAATAGACGATGACACTCAGGTATTCTCAAGGAATAGGAAACTGAAGTCTCTCTCATATCTGGAAGGAGCATCCCTATCTGGTCAACCCTTCCAACAGATGTCCTCGCTGAAGGTGCTAACAACCCTCCCTTCCTGTCCCCTGTCTTTTCTTCTCCTTCTCCCTCCTGGCATAGCCGCTTTGGCTTCTCGCCAAACATGGGATAGAGTGATGAGGAGAGAGGGTGGTGATCGGCTGTAATGGAAGGAGAGAAGGGAGGGGGCAGCGGAGGTAAGGGGGACACCATTTGGGTATTCGCCAAGGAGGCTCAGAGGAGAGGGGTAGATTGAACTAAAGGGAGTCAGTGGAGGAAAGAGGGAGGAAAAGAGCGTGACAGAAGGCAGGTTAACCCAACCTTACCTCTCATATGATTTACTTACCTGGTGAGAGGGAAAGCAATGGAGATTTGTGAGTAAAGGTTTGTGAAATAAATGAGGTGACTGTGATACTGTGTGTTTAACTTTGCAATGCAGTATGTGGAGAGATTGTAAGGAAATAGGCACGACAAGCTTGCATGAACTCGCCTGTTGGAGTGTGTGTGTGTGTGTGTGTGTCTTACCTTAACGGTGCGGTGGTGCTTGCGGGAAGGGTGACAGCGCATGTTGCTTGTGTTGCAGCAGCCTGTGCAGCGCTTCACCTCCACACAGGGCGGCCATATCAGGAAGTTGGCAGACGTGGAATCCACCTGACTCCTGGGGATCTCGTAGATCACTGTCCGCGTCTTACACACCGCCGGGACCGCCTCCTCTGCTGGAAGAAAAACAGGCAGGAGGAGGAGTTAGTGCGTGGTCTGACTGCATGACTGTTCGGTGACATATTTTCCGAATGCATGCTTGTGCTGATGTATCGTTTTAATCTCTCTTTTTCAATCCCAGCTGCTTCATGCATTCCTTCACTGATCATTATTTGATGACTCACTTGATGTGGGAGCTGTTTGTCTTACTTCAGATCACACCCAAGCTCGTTTAAGGCTGTTAAGAAGACAAGCTATCCAAAAGCTGATCTCATATCAACTAAGGAGCTTTGGGATCAAGTCTGTGAGACAGAAAGAAACTGCTCCTTTGTTCAGATCCCTCACTGGGGTTAATGCAGCGTGACTAGGCCAGAAAACCTTTATGTCCGCCACTGAGAAATCTATGAATGACCTTTGACCCTGTTGGTCGTTGTGAAAAGAGGAAGGCAGTAAGCATTCATTTCAGATGTAATGCTCTGACAGGCACTCAAACCTAAAGATGTGACAGAGAGCGTACAGTAAGGTACCATTATATCGTAAAGATGATATGTGCATGCACAGAACGTGAGGGATTTTGTGGACAGCTGCCAAAATGGTATACAGTGTCATACACTTATGATATGGTGTACACACATGAAATACGAGCAGCCACGTTATCCTGCGTGTGCTTTAAATGCTGAACTGCTGGGAGGGATGTGAAACACACGCAGCCAGTCCTCACACACACACTGCAAACTACATGGTTCTCTCCACGCCTCGATCACATATCGTACCGCGTGGCGTTTTATGAAGAAATCTGACTGAGAGCCTAGGCGAGCTGCAACTTGAGCCCTGAATGCCTGGAATTTCCACGCTCAAGGATATATTTCTCTCCTGACGCGTGTGTCTTAGATCTGCAACCCTGTGGCCAATTAAAAGGCTCCGTGTCAGACGTCCTCTTCAACCTCACACATCAGGCTGGTTTCTCATGATTTCTTTATTGCCATAACTACTGGGTAGACATCTTCATTAGGGTTTCTTTTATCCACAAAAAGGCCATATAAAAGCCACTAACCATTAGCTTTGTTTGATCTAAGTGTAAAGTGATCGGTTTCATCTCCTGGGAACTCAAACGTCAGTTGGGAGATAGAGGTTATTTGTAGGCACTATGACACTGCAATAAGTTGTGCCAAGTTGTGATGTATACAGTTCCAAATGTAATCATGATGCAAACTCTAAAGTGGCACAGTTAAGCATATAGCATTCATTCAGACTTACCAATGCTCCTCTTGCGTCGGCTGTGAAGCTGGGAGCTCTTCAGGTCATTGTAGTAACCATGTTGACGGGAGTAGTTCTTGTGGGGGTTGTGGTGCTTGTGGTGCTTGGGCTCCTCGATAACATTGTTTCCCGCACCTCATCAAAACAGAAGGCAGCCACATTAATGATGACACACAAGAAGGAAGCACAACACCATGAGCCTGTTGATCACCCCTGCAGCTTTAACAGTGTTATGTGGTGGGTGGCTTGCTAGGCCTCACCGGACAGGCTGGATGTACTGTAATCCAGTATTGATGTTTTATATACCCCTTACACAGCTTAAAATGTGATGGTTAGTCACACGACCATAATGAGACGGTAACTTCCTGCTGGCTTCTTGTTTTATGTAACACATGCTTTGATTCCCTGAAAGGATAGGTTTCCTTTCAATGTGCTTGCTGGCTAACATTGCGGTTCATGATGATGTCAAGAATGGAGGTAAACAGTACAGAGTATGCACGGTACGGTTAGGAGACACATATTACACAGACCTGGATGTAATTGCAAGCTTTGTGTGTCAGCCTCACTGACTCATTTAGCTGAACTTTCCCAGCAGGAATAAAGTATGTAGACGCAGGTGAGTCAGCATGCTCCCAGAAAAACAACCAGCTTTCACAGACACACAGTGGACTAAAGTGGCCATTTGACAGGTGGTACTCAGCTGCCATTATCCCTGCACCTAATTAGTGGTTTTGTGTCTCTCATTTACCTAAAAATGTTTGCTTTTTCAATCTTTCAGCAGCTTGGAAAAGTACATGTTTTGTTATGCTACAGTGGTAGCTCCTTAAAGCTCCCTAACTCCAGTCTAATATAGCCAGCTCAGCTTATTCACAGTCATGGTCATCTGATAAAGCTTGCTTGTTTTGGTCCCCGCCCAGAATATGAGGTGAATTACAGAAGAGTGCCAGAGGAGCTATAAAGCGATAAAGCATGTTCGCAGCACACTGCCCTTTCCCAAAGAGCAGAGTCTGACAGTGTTTGCTAAGTGGGTGGGTCTGCTTGTCTGTAGGTACAGCATACCCACCCACCTGGCTGACACAATCCTACACCTGTACACTTAACATAAAGACACACTCACAACTCCCCTGATTATCCTTCAAAACCCAATGTACACCAGCACAACAAAGCTTAGCCACAAGCAAACACATCCAGCTCCTTTGTGCTCTGACCAGAGTCATCTGAAGGGATTTCCTCTACCTATACATGATCCACCTCTGGGACTGGTTGTTTATTTGCTTTAGGTTGCCTTCTTGTTCCAGGTCTGACCGTCAGTCAGACAGCCAGCGACCCAGAACCAAAGGTCCACAGAAAGGAAGTGTTGACTACATCTGAGGCCTTGTGTTAAGTAAAGGGCAGAGCTATCAGTCAGTCAGTCAGGCCAGTATATAGACACATACCCTTACTGTATGAATGTGCAAACACACCCACACTGTCTGCACAGTCACATAGACTCATTGTGACAGCTGGATGATTTTCCTACCTGACGACCTTTTAACACTACGGGTCACAGACAAAACTCCCACTGTCCCTCTCTCCACCACACCTATCCCTCTTTTCATCTCCCCCTGTCAGAAGAGGATGGGAGTGAGGGAGGGTGTCACACCAGTGACCACCCAGAGATAGGTTGTGTCAGAGCTGACAGGAGAAAGGGAGGGAGGGTATAAAGAAGTCCTTTATAGACTGCAGAGTCCTTTCTCAGCATAATAAAAGAAGCATTCTTTGAGTGTTTTCTTAACGTTCAAAGGAGGAACATGGGGGGGAAAAGGCAATCAGAGTGATTAGGCAAGAAAAGACAAATAATGAGAGGTATAAATAAGTCTGAGGGGATTGCTCCTCTGTTGGTTCCAGGTGACTTAGCAGTTATAGCTTGTCAAACTGAGACTAGAAAGAGAGGAGACAGTCTCTTGCCATGAATCAGGCTTTTATGACTTTAAATGACTCCATCCATTTACTGAGGGCTTCGGCTCCCTACGTCTTGTGATAAGTGCCTCCATAGTTCTCTTACTCTGTCTCCCCTCCTTGTTTCTGAATTGTCAACAGTTACATGCTGCCAACTGTACTGGAGGTAAACACAGTGCCAGCTTGTCACAAAAAACAAAGGAGAAGGCACAACAATGTGCGGGCTTTCTGAGTGAAGTATAGCAGGAACACTACCTCCAGAATCCTCCCCCCTCTCCTCAATCTCTGCCCCCTGCCAAGAGTCAGGTTCCCTTTCTGTCAAAGTCCTTCACTGAGAGAGATAAGGGCAAGCAGGCAGGCAGGCCGGGGGCCACTGAAGGAGTTAGACGGGGATAGAGAGGAGAAAAAGCGAGGAGTGGAGCACCTCAGGGGCCAGACAGCCATCTGCAGACTTCAGTGGGGTCATCTCATCTGTCAGTCAAGCTGCAGACACCATGCTCGCCGGACGTGTGTATATAGACATGACTGAGCAAAGCAGCACTAAATGAAACACACAGCCGCGAGATAAGCCCTGCAGGCCTAACAATGATCCCAACACGTATACTTCCTAACTGAATTATAAAGTCATCCTTCCAGGGACAGCAATATAAAATAATGAGAAAATAATATGATAGTGACTAAAACAAAAATAATTGAGGATTTCCTGTGTTAGTTCCTCCAGGTGCAAATGTTCAAAGGTTTAAACCAACACCTCATGTAAGCCTTTCCTTTCTCCTTCCCTAGTTGAAATGCTACCATGTACAGGTCAGCCTATACTGGTAGCTTTACTGTCCTGGCCATCTGCAACAAAAGCTCTGAAAATACCCCTTAGGCTGGCGTCAAAGGTCTTTTAATGGGCTGGCCTGGGCCGCCAAGCTGGCCGTCAGACAGATTTATGTCCTCGTAATAATAATCAGCCTACTACTGTTACCCTGCAAAACATTCCTCTGTTTGAAGAAAGACATGTTAATTCAATTATAAACACCTCTTCTCATGCTAGAGGCCCAGTGGAGATCTATTCTGGTCTCAGCATAAAGTGCTGTGAACCCTGTTGTGGAGTACAGGTTGGTTTGATTGTGAATTAAATACATTAAAACACACAAGCTATTACTTGTCCTAATTGAATCGTCCATCAAAAAAGCAACAGGGTGGTTAAACAGGAGAATACTTGAGTGAAAGACTGGTCCTTTGCTGGATTTAAGTGTTGAGGCTACTAATGAGCTATGACCAGTAAGGTAGCTTACATCATTTGGGACGGTTAAAGCACATTTAGTAATTACCTATTTCCATCATCAAATCTTTAGGGAGAGCCCTGAATTTGATATATGGCCAGAGCCTGTGTAAATAGAGTCTCATGTGAACGCAAACAGCTTCTTCCAGTGCACCCTGTAACTTAATCTAAGACAGCCTGAGACAGACCGGACCCCCACCACAGATGAAGCAGCACCTCCAAGAACCTGAAGCTGGACAAACCCGCCTGACCTGCAAGCCGCTGTCTCTGTTTACAGGGCAACATATGTGGCAGTCTCGCTGCTTTAAAGCCAGTTTATTGCAGCAGCTGAAGAATATACATAAGAAATGCTTGCCAGTGAAAGTCCATCTTTGTCACATGTGTACAGTAGACGCACCTATTGCAGTTATTGCTTTGTCACGCACGCCAGGGCTGCACTTGGCACAGATCTCACCTGGGCAGTGCTTTGGAGTTATAACTTTACTGATTACATTTTAATGAATGTACATAGCAGAAAGTCCAAAACAACAAGTATTCCTGTTTGTTTTTTTAATCCACTAAACCTCCAGGATTGGAAGTCTCTACTTGTTAATCAAATGTCACTCAAAGACTTGCTCCTACCTACTCTATTTCAGCTGTAAGGCACAAGTGGATTCATTAATGCTAGCAGCATATCGGTGGATTCTATGATTAATTATTACACATTATTCACCTATCCAGCCAGCACATGTTCTATGCATAGTTTTTAAAAGCCACAAAGGTTCAATACTTTCCAGTCATTATTATTTTAGATTCGACCTTTGTATACATTTATGTAATAGTCATTTGACATTCATCTTATGTTGCCTGACAAGGGCAAATATATATGGAAAGTCCCCATACCAGGGAGTATTAAAGTGTACTACAAAGAAGGCTATCTTTAAAAAGTTATTCAACAACAGATTATGATTCTACAGGCATAGCCTACCGCTTATTTGATCATGGTGCAGCTGTTTTTAGTACCGCCCTTTAGTGCGTGCTGTCACATCAACAATAGCATCTAAGGCATCAGGATTTAAAAAAGATAACGTGGTTCTTTTGATCAAAGTATCAAGAGGCAGAATTTACCTACGGATTCAATGTCCAGTAGCCGCTGGAGGTCGCTGATGCTGTGGATTTCACTGTGGGACAGTCTGTCTATCAGCTCCTGGGGAAACTCCACTTCCTATAGGGGACGGGGGACGGGGGGGCAGAAAAAATAAACAAGAGATGAAGGTTAGAGATGTGTCGGGTCAGTGGCAAAACGTTTGTGGAATTGTTTGCCTGTATAAGTAAACGTGCTGAGTTTAAACAACTAGGCTACCAGAAAGATCACTGTAGAACAACATTGCAACTATGTGCCAACTACAACGAGCAGATCTAACCCACTGCCAAACAATCTCCTCACACATGGAGAGAAGGTGGCGCCTAACCCCCCCAGAAACTGTTCAATTTAGGCTAATTATGCTATGCTTTTGAAATGAGAAAAGCTTTATGGCTGGGGGATATACTGTATATCATCTATTTTTTAATTAGGATTTACTTTGGCACCCAGATCAGCCTAGTAAAGCGCTATTTCCCTGTAATGCATCCATTCAAAACATGACATGCAGAGCAATGGTCATGTAAAATTAAGCGTGTTTAATAAATATCCTGCCTTGATCATTAATTGGATGCTGTATTAAAAAATGTACGCTAAAGGGATCGATCCCCAAGACGACTTGACTTATTGTTATACCAATGCTGTTCCATGCAGATAAGTGAAGCTACATGAATCCGCCTGATTTCTAAGCAATTGTGAATGTTAAACGGATCGGGTTGACGTCAGCCCGTGTGAACAGTAGCTTGACACTTTTGCACTTGTTGCGGTCTTGCAAGCACCTCAAGTTTAGCAAAGCGCTCTGCCTTACAGGAACAGTGGCTATTTATATCGCCCGGAGCGGTTCCCATGAAGGCGCTTAGCCCAACCAAAACGTTTGCCCAGTTGGCTCAGGCTACAAACAGATTTGGCAGAAAAGCCAAAAATAACTGCGATATGCTTCCAAGTGCAGGAGCGATTTGGTTCTCAAAAGCGCGTTTTCACTGACCCTCATGTTCTCTAGAAATAAATCAATATCTTACACTGTTCTTATAATAGCCTCTTAGTCTAAACTACCCTTTCATTATCTTAGAAAAGACCGCTTGAAACGGTTACAGGTCCATTCAAATAAAGAAATGCTGCGTTCAGTCTCATAATCCTATCATTAATACACAGGATTTCGACCAAACCTATTGCTCAGGAGTTTCCTTCTCTTCACACCGAGTTGTGTGTGTAGCTCTGTTAAAATGCACGCTCTGTGGGAACTTTAGACCCTCCCGGGAATAAAACCCCGCACCACTGTGTGTGACCAGGGATCAGAAAGTATACCCGGCCCCGCACCTCTCTGACTCTGCTAACTTTACCTCAGAGCTGGCCAGCAGCAGGTACGTCGTCCACAGCAGGAAGTAACAAAGTGCGGGTCTCATCTCCCTGTAATTTAGATCTAACCACGAACAAGAAAAATGTGCTGTTCTGTAGGAGCCGCAGAATCGCTCCTGGCCCCACAGGATCCACAACCATCCCCTCGGGGGCAGAAATCAGGGTGTCAGCGGGCTCAGTCAGACTCCGTGCTGCACTTGCTTGAAGCTGTGAAAATCTGAAGAGGCTGGAAGTTGACTCTTGTTATTCACATTGGACTGCGTCCTCTTGAACAAGATCAGTGCGGCAGATCGACATAGCTCCTTAGGCGAAAGTGGGACAATCCCAAGAGACAAGTCTGAAGCGCATTGCACTTGTCCTTCACCATCTACAAAACAGGTTTAAAACTTAAGTCCGATTCACTGAAATATCAAAAAAGACGCGCAGCTGTTATAATTAAACCAACGACTGTTTCTAAAATAGCGTTTAATAGTCCTAGAAGAATATAATCCAAACGAGCAGATCCTCTTAGAAAACCACAAGGGAGAAAGTTGTCCGGGTAGTGCTGCTATTCAGAGCGTGTCTTGCAGCAGTCTGCACAGGTCCTTGAGTGTGTGGGACTCTGAAGTGAATGGAGACAGAGCGCCTCTGAGCCGCTGGATATAGAGAGCCAGCAGCTCCGTGCCCGTTGCGCCTCCCCTCGCGTTTCTGCGATCCTGCGTCTATTCAGCGAGGGGAGCTGGTTGGCTGGGTGGATGACTTAAGACTCGAGAGCATGTCCCCATCCCCCCTCAGCCAGTGTGTGTGTGTGTGTGTGTGTGTGTGTGTGTGTGTGTGTGTGTGTGTGTGTGTGTGTGTGTGTGTGTGTGTGTGTGTGTGTGTGTGTGTGTGAGTGTGTGTAGGGGAGCATGTGTGAAAATGAAAGGGAGAATAATATCAGTAATATTATAATATCATTATGAAGGTAGGGAACACACCTGCTAATTAGAATCCTATACGTGTGTGTGTGTGTGTGTGTGTGTGTCCTTTTGCAAGTTAAATATATTGATTACCACTTTTTGGAGAGGATGCAAAAGTGGCCAATGATTATGGGCAAAATGAGACAAAAAAGTGAGGATGAGGATGTGTCACTGTTCTCATAGTTGTTGCTAACAATGAGCTCTGATTGAATAAAAAATGAGGGGCAGCTAATACATTTGTATTAGTGTAAATCATGGTTATTTTCAGGAAGTAATCACATTTGGAAAAAATAATGATGATCTTTATCATGGAAGTGATGATGGGATGACTCATGATTAGATAGTAACTCAAGCTCTCTTTGTGCCTTAAGGCAGAATAACCCATTTATGTATCATGTCGGAACATTTAGATACTTACAAGTACAAAGAAATATGTATACACGTCTGAAACTGAATGGATTATGACATGGATGATAACCATTTAAAGGCCATGTGTGTGGGCATGATTTTGGGACACAGGAAATGACTAGTTAACAGCAGGTTAACAACACTCTGGTCTTAACTTGTTGTGAGGAAGCTGGAGGCTGTGCTGTGCTGGGAGGTCTGGGAGGGGAGCCTGAGGGCCTGATAAACGAGACATACCAACAGGAGCAGAGACTCAGACAGAGACAGCGCGCACGCACATTATCAGCAAGAGGTGACAATCAGCAGGGAGCCAGGTCAGGGACCAGGTGGTCTGCCCTGTACCTTGTCCAATTAACTGGATCACATAGCACGAGGCCCGCCTGAGGCCGCTCGGGATGGAAACGCTGCATGCAGAAAACACACCACCAGCTGGTTGAGTAATTAATGTAACTATTTTAATGCGCCTGTGAAGTTCATTTTAGGATGGTATATTTGAATAACAAATGTCCCTACTAAAGCCCTTTATGTTAAACATTGTTCCTATCTTTAACTTTCCTGCACTAATCGCTCATTCCTTCCCTGTATGAGTAACTGTGTGCATTAAGGTATATGATGCTATGGCAAAATGACTCACACACACCACTGACAGGCAGATGCATCACGTCCCACAGTGTGGTTACATCACAGGTTAGCCCTTGCCTGGATGAGCATCCCTATTGTCTGAATAAACTAATCATGCGTCTTGTAGGTGTGCACTTTGCATCATGGTGGGAAACTGGGGGTCAGAAGAAGAGATGAGAGAGCAGTGGGAGAGAGTGATTTCCTTTTTATGTAAGAGATGAGTAAGAGGGAAAAACTAGCAAGGGAGGATGATGCTGCGTCTTTCCCTTTCTTTCATTTCATTGTGTATTTGGTGATAATGCTTATAACTGGTCCTTTCAAACTGATTATTCAGAAGAAAATCATCTTAAACTTGAGCTTGAAACACATGAGAGTCATCATGCGAATAATATACTGTAAGAGGGTGAGAATGTTAGATTTGGGGAAAACAAGTGAGAGAAAACTGAACTACGCAAAGGGGATAATAATCATTGGACTGACATTTTAGGGGAAGAAGAAGAAATAAAAAAAACAACAAGACTTTAAAATCAATCTCTCTCTCTCTCTCTCTCTCTCTCTCTCTCTCCCTCCTGCATTTCTGCATAAGCTATTAGCAAAATGTTTACTGGCAACTGAGGTCTGTGTACCTAACAACATTAACCCTGTTAAATAGGTTTATAGATGCTGGTGCACAGTAAATCCAGCCATAAAAGATTCTGCGGAGAGGACTTCTCCGAGTGAGGCGATGACTCCCGTTTCCCCCTAAGGCCGCACATAGTTCCCAATGAGAGAAGCATAGGAAAAAGGGGAGAATTTTTAAGAATGGATATGAGTTGAGTTGAGTTGTCTTTGGGGAATTTGAGTGGGCCTCTTAGTCCGTCTGTTCTTATCATGTATTTCCATGATAGGAAGGTAGTGGTCATTTGAGGAGTCTTGACCTTGTGAGCAAAAATATCTTTATGCTGGGACAGTTTTATTTTACTAAAACACATTTTAAGTTTCAGATCAGCTTCATGGTCTTTATAAAGATTACTTTTTAGTTATGATGTTGGAAAGATGTTAAGCATGATCATTTGTCCCATATTATATAAAGTACATGTATAGATTTTTCGCATACTCGCATCCATATCACTTTATCATTTGGTTTGGTTTGGCTTATTGACCACATAGTACAATGCAACAAACACTGTCCAGGGAAAAATAATATATTAAATAAATATAATACAATTAAAAAATAGAAATGCTTGTTCTATATTGCCCTTGAATATACCCTTCGTCTTGCTTTACCTGAATGGGCCTGAAAATGTGCTTTTTTCTTTGATATTCTTGTAATATAAATAGTATAACACAGTCCTGCCACCTATTGGATCAAAGCTAAACAACTTGGTATCACTGTACAGTAAGTGTAATAAACCACATATAATATCATCAACAACTCAATCTCAACTTAATCCCAGTGTTGCTGAACTCTGACCCTGCAACGAAAGCAAAGAATCTCAAACTTCAGTGAACTGGGGAACCATAAAAAGATAGCAGTGCTGACAATAGAAACTCACCATACTGATAGCTTCATACTCACAAAGGTTACGATACTTACAACTGTTATATTTCCTTTTTACAATGACAGCCATTACATAGTTTCCACTGGGCATCCCCGTTCTATGACACCTCATAATGTCAAAAATGGATTGGATTGCCTTGCAACAGAGAAACAAACACAGGTCTAACCTGGTGTCTTCCCCAGCACCACCCAGTCATATCATGAGCATGCATGAGTCACGGACACAAGGAGCAAGTCCTTTGCCGACTTCAGAGTGATCTCCTCCCTCCTCCTCAGGGGAGAATTAGGCCCCGCTAACTAAAGCCCTAACTAGCTCATCAGTGTCTATGATGACAAAGTTGATTCCATTAGTGGGTTGTGTGCTGATGTTTTAAGTGAGGAACTGTGTTATTTGACACGAGCTTGTGCCTTGTAATAGGCCCATTAGAAATAGGGGTAACATTTATGGTTGGGTTACTCACGTACGCAGACTCACAAAAACACACATGGGTAGGTAATTCAGTTGAAATTTCCCAGGAGCAAAGGTGCATTCCAGAGGCTAGTAGTGATATAGATTGGACCTGGAAATGATCCAGAGCAGAGTGCATATCCAGGGCAACCTCCACACATAAACAAGCACCCGCTCATAGACACATTAACGCTGAGAAAGACTTGCCCTTGCTGCTTGTTCACCTGAATATTAAGCAGGGAGGGAGGCCAAATACAGCAGCCGTACTTACAACTGGACGCAGCTGCTCTTTTATAGAGACGATTACTGGCAGCCATTTACAGGCCTTCATCTCTCTAACATGCATAGCAACCTGAATGAAGTGCTCTGTGGGGCCTCCCAGCACCCCTCTGGACCCCTTTTTATTTCAGGCGCTATAGGTGTGCAGGCATTCCAGGGGCACAATGCCCAAATTGCTCTTTCATTAGTCACAACTGCGTAGTCGAGTCCACCTCTGGGATCAAAATGAACGCCCCAGGCACACATAAATGCACAAAGCTGGTGGTACAAGGCATGCAAGGCAAACTTCCAGCTGCAACACATTATACATTACAACAGCACACTTCAGTTGTTAAGGGACCGCGGCATCCTCTCCGTGTGATCTCCAGATCTGTCAAACTGCGGTCTACTCTTGTCATAACTCTGCCTTGACTTTTTCACTCTGCACTCCTCCATGAAAGCCATCCTTAGAGAGCTAGAAATAGGTGTTCGGTGTGAAGGAGAAATGACACCAAAGAGAGAAAATACTAGGAACACGCTGGAAGAAATCCGAGAGTGTGTTTGTATGTGTGTGTTTATGCAACCTCAGCATCCAGTTCCTGCAGTCTCCAAAGTCTGACCCCGTCATTTAGGTCAGAGATGGACTCCTGACCGCAGCCAGTACGTTCAGTATAGAAAACAGCCAGCTAAAGCTCCAGATGTTGAGAGGAAATCACATTTAGAAACACCAAATCAGACTTGCAGTTCAGGTCAGAACAGACCTACACATACACTTACACAAAAACTGTTTACTGTATGTGGGAAACTAAAGAGCACAGACCAACTTATGAACCAACACCTACACACCTGCACTCTCTCATGCGCATTCTTCAATTTCCACAAATGAACAGACAGACAGACATGAAGCAATACGGGCACAAGTCCTTACATGCAGTTCCCCGTGTCCCAGCTCCGTTTCCCCTTAAAACACTGCCTCTTTATTCTCTATGAACAAAAAAAACACTCTCTCTTTCTACACACACACACACTCACAGAAAAAACCGGGGGACTTCCAGCCACTGAGAAATAGCAGCGTAATTGCCGGTGCTCTGTTGTCTATCAAGACCTGACCTTTTCAACATGTGTGTGCCGTGTTGGGAGCGGTGGGAACCGGCGAGGAGGAAGACAGGGGTCTCCCCAGCTCTGTGGTGGTCTGACCCAACCTCCCCCCTTCTTTTCTCTACTCCAACTCCTCAAAACATTGGGAACTCCCACTGCGTCCCCATGTTCTGTGGATTCGGAGGCTAGGAGGGGAGGACACGGCCAACCCACAAATCAGACTCTTGGCAGGGGGACATCAAAGTCGAAACAGGACGACATGGAAAGGACAGGGGGAGACAGAGCTGCCCTGTCTCACTGCGGCCCCTA